GGGTAAAGGCAAAAAAAAAAATAGCAGAGAAGCAACATTAGTCTACTGTGCTTGCGGCTAAATTGCGCTAAAATATTATACGCACATAACCATAAACACAATGACAATAACGAACGAAACGACGATGGTGTCGATGATAATGACAATAATGATGACGATGACGATGCTGATAAATGTGATTAAGCGTTAAAAACATGCAATTGAAAGCATTTTAACAAAAACGATAACAGAATACACAACATTACAAACACTTGCTCTAGAAAATATATTAATCTAAAATTTTAACATAACCAGCCGCCACGTTTGCAATTACGGTAGAAAATAAAAAATGTAAAGCTTCAAGACCTTAGCGTGATGCATGAAATCCTTTCCAAATATCTGGGCCTTTCATGGATTTGATTTTTTAATAGAATTCAGTTTGGTATCTGTCACTGGTCGCAAAGAGTTCTTTCCGGTTTCCTTTTCACGACACTAATGAATGCGCATTCGTACAACTGTTCTGCCACATACGCAAGGCAATGATGGCCATGCCGCTAAATGAAGTGAAATAAAGAAGCGAGTTGTCTCTCCAATGGCTAACTTTTGCCAAAGACATGAGTGAAGTGTCTTCCGTTAACGTGTACTTTACTTTTACTGGAATACTTCAAGAAACATATATTTAATAATAAGTCTTTTCAGTTTACCCCAGAAATACTGGGAATATTCAACACAAAGGTCCGGTTGTCGTAGGAAAAACAATAGTCCAGCTTTATGAGTAAACTTCTCCAGACGATATGAAACTAAAGTTCGCCAAGGAAATGTGAAAATAGAGTTAACGAGCAAACTTCTTGCGGAAGCATGCTCGAGATATACGAAATTAAAGATTACGACAAAACTTTTCCTGAGAGAATACCTTGAATAATGCAAAATCCGGCATCATGAGCAAGCGTCTCGCGGAACAATACTTGAGGCAATCTGAAAATCATATTCACGTCCAGGAGTAGACTTCCGGCGGAAAAATGTTGCAGAGAATGCGAAATTCAGTTTCACAGAAGAAAGAAAGAGGGAGGGAGAGGGAGGGAGAGAAAGAGAAAGAGAAAGAGAGAGAGAGAGAGAGAGAGAGAGAGAGAGAGAGAGTGAGAGAGAGGGGGGGGGGAGGGGGGCGGGGTATCTTAAAATGTGAGAAAATGCTTTAGATAAGCTGAAATTCAAGGTCGTAGCAGGAAAATTGAAATATAAAGAGAAATCAATTTGATTGCACTTCGAACGAAGAATAGTTGGAGTTTGCTGAGTATCATAAAATAGCTAACAATCCCGTCTATGCAGTATATTTTTCAAATTAATCTTAACAAATAGTTTTGAAGCCCAGCAGATCACGGAATAGTGCCAGCTCTGCTTTTTATTTTTGATTTTTTTTTTTTTTTATATCACCCGCTGAAGTATATTTGTGCTTTCAGTGCTGTGATAGTCAAAGGTACACATCAGATATTGTAAAGGGTTCCTAACTGAGTAGATTTATTGTTGTCTCTCAATAGATAAGAGCGTTCGTTCATTTATATGCATCAGAATTTGCAGTTTGTTCTACAATATGTTCTCTTCGTTGTTTGTGTGTGCTTCCATTTATTCACCCGCTTGTCTATTTACACACACACTTTACTAGGTATTATAAAGTGACTTAATTTTGTTCGCTTCCACCTTTAAACCTATTTGCCAGTTCATGCACTGGCCCTTGAAAGATATTCGTTTTTGCTTTAGTCTTACGTGTGCCCTCCCAGTCTGTTCGATCCTTTGTATGGCTGAGAGCTTATAAACTGATCTTATAAAGTGACACAACGTTATGAGATGGCGCCTAAGGTTTGTTGTGCCCATTCGCTCGTCCATTTATTTATAATCGGTTGACATCAAAAAGTCATGCTTCTACGTCGCTGCTCCTCCGCTTAAACGCTCTTTCATATACTAGTACACATCACATCTTTTAAAGTCACTCCCTAAAGTGGCGTGAGTTACTGATATGACAACTTAATTTCGTTCATGTCTTCACAACTTTCATCCACCCGTTTGTCCGTTTATACGTATCTGAATCCACACGTTTTTCAGTTTTTAATACGCAAAGAATGGGATAATTGTATCGCGCTGTATAAACTCACAACGTTAGGCAAACGAAAAATAGATGTATTGTCGGCGAGCGCTTTTATGAGTGCTGTAAGTGAAAAATTAAAGCAAGTTTCGACTTTGTTGCAATCATAGTTGCCGGCAAATGGATCTGGTGGACTATAATCAGTTTATATATTGTCCAGAATTAATCATTTTCGCAATGCTTCTAAGTGATATCGTCTGCATATTTTTTTTTTTTTTTGTACAAAACCAAAGCACAATAGGGGTTCTACAAAATTGCCGTATGGGTCTTGGGAGGCCTAAGAGGTTTGAAAGGTGGGTTTCAGTTTTTTTGGTATATATTATTATACTTATTATTTTTCACTCATATCTTGGGCATGAGGCTTGGCGCTGTTCGTTTCATTTCACACGATTTAGTCCAAACTTAGGTTTTACGAAGGAAGAAGGCATTCTACTCGTTGGTTGATGGCTTTCCCTATTTCGGAAGTCAAACCCATTAAGGTCGTTCCAACCTCGTTGAAAAATATTAGGCCTTGGCTATCTGAAAATCCTGGAAGGGCTACGAAAAGACCTGAAGATCACAATACAATCAGTTCGTGGACAATGTTTGCAGGGCAGGCGTGATGGATTTTCGAGATTATTTTAATTTATAATCAAGGAATCGTTAAAAAGCAAATGCGATTACTTTCGATTTATTGATTTTTTTTCGTAGTAAATAAAGGGAAATAACGCTTCCGTAATATTAAACTAACACATCATTTAATGCCCACAAAACAAATAGTGTTTTTTTTTTTTTTCTATGAAACGATTAGCGATAAACGATTATTTTTTTACTATTTTTTTAAATACCGTTTTTTAACATAATAAAAACCGAAGCAGAGGCAAAGAATATATTTTGCGAGCATTTAAAACACTTTTAGTTAAGTGAGAGAGTGGAATGTTAAGCAATCTTTAGCAATAAAATAATGAAAGTTAAATGAAAGGCTTTCAGCTCAATAGGAAAAAGTCTATAAAAATTTGTCACCCTAGAAATTAATTGCCCTTGAAAATGAAAATAATCATAAAAAAAAGAATATGTAGGAAATAGTATGAAAAACTCCGTGAGCAGTAACAACCAACGGCTAACTGTGTATGGAATGAAAGGAAATTGTTAGAGCGCGCGTGTGTGCATGCTTGTTACCATATATAACAAACTAGCAGCATAAGCTACCAGAGAAAATACTAAACGAGGAAAAAACACCAACAACAAATGCCAACGAGCGGTTAGTCATTTGTTTAATACCCCAATGAGAAGTATGCACGCACATACACTCAAACACAAACCGATTGATTACTATACTAGCAAGCTTACGTACGTTATATACGTATGTTACGTATGAATGGATGTTTCATTTACTCCTCTCACTAGCATTTAGTGGACTATTGAATGAAGACATATGGCCAGTTTAACAAACAATTTTTCTACTAATGCTGTGTTTGCACTTTCGTATGGATTCACTCCGCACACAATAAAATCTAGCAAAAAAAAAAAAAAAAAAAAAAAAAAAAAAAGAAAAGAAAAAGGCATAACGTGATATTAATCCTTTCGAACGGGGGCGCTACCTTGAAAGAAGAAAACAAGAAAGAAAATGAAAAAAAAAGAGGAAAAACAAAGCACATACGCACCTATCTATACAAATGCATGTAAAGGATGTCACATTTGTTAAATTTTCCCTTTTTTTTTGTTTTTTCTTTTAAAAAAAAAAAAAATAATTTTCTCATTCTCCGTCTCAGCTACTTTAACTTTACTCGAATAGTATGACAACTCAATTTATGGTCTATACCTTCCATTTGCGATGTTTGATGCGTGCATCGAGTAAGGACGCACTTAATTAACTGTGACAATCAATTTTGAATGCAACTTATGTCTCAATTGCTTGTGAAATATCGCTTACGACAGCTAAAGGGAATAAAGCGAATGCTGCAAATCGATATGTTCGATAGGCTAAAAAATATTAAGCCCAAGTGTCAATTTTCAATCTTGGGCATTTTGTTTTTTTTTTTTTTTTTTTTTAAATTTTATAAAGAAATTAATTAGTCTTTCCTTAGATTACTTTCCCTCTATTACCCTAAGCTGAGGTTCTTAGATTATTGGCCAAATTTTGCCCTATATTGAGTGTATGCATACGTACGAGTCTTTTTGCTAGTTTTATAAATAATTTAATAAAATTTATAAAAGGATCAACATTTTTTAGATTATTTTATTAATACTATATCCCATTAAAAATAAATAAAATCTCCAAAGGCGCAATACTTTTTAATTTAATTTTTTTATCTTTTTATTTGAATAGCTTCCTTTATTTGCGGACGGCGTGGTGGCCAGAAAGGATTATAGACGGATAAGGACGATGCGTACAACCGACTATTAACTTTCCGCTATTGCGGGGATGCTTAAGGATATAGTGAAGTTTAAATAAATGGTACAATAAGCGGTCCGATCCGAACCATTTCCAATATTATTCTTCTTTGGGCCAAAATAAGTCATCAAAATATTCTAAAAATTTTGGGCTGAATGTTGAACTCATGGGAAAAAGTGGTTCGGGCGGACATACAAGTTTAAATCGATTTAGAAAATGACTCTGTATCGATCATTGCAATAAAAGGTGGCTCAATCCTATGTACCTCTAGCTGTTGTAGACATCCGCACAAACTTAATATACTTTCGTGGCATAGATATGAAAACAGAAATGCGAATAAATCTGCTTTCGGTACAAGTAAACGTTTTTTTTGAGATCCGACAAAAATCTCATGACTTTCGCTTAGTAAAAGGGATACCATATAATAAGAGTCGAAAAACAAACATAAAGATTTGCTGGAATTTTTTATACATAGACACTATTTATTTATTTTTTTGTTTTGTCACTTACTTGCTTTGTAACAGAGTCAATGAGCCTAACGAATATGTCCTGTTCTTGTCTAGCACCTGTAAAGTGAGTTTGAGAAACTCATTGTGAATCAAAGATGAAAAGATATATTTTTTCTTTTCCTTCCCCCAATACTTTAATCCCATTACTTACCGTTAGCATAAAGTAACTGTAATCTGTATTGTATGCCATTATTAGTTTTCGTTGTATCGGTTTCCGATTCCTTCTCAATGAAACCAATAAATGCAGTTCTTTCGATTTCAATAGGCTGACCGGCACGATCGTATAACGCAATCACAAAATGAAAAAAATTTGATTTCCTTAAATTACTGGGCGGCTGTTTTTCAAAATGCGCTCGACCGATACCCAAACTGAAAACAAATATATAAATTTATTAGATAAGACAATAATGCAAAAAATAAAAAAAAATACTACAGTGAAAAGTCCGAGGCAGTACTTGATGTTAATCTTTGACTCAAGATCATAGAATGAATTGTTTTCGGTCATTACAATTGTTACATCAGTCATTTACTTGTCTTTAGAAAATTTCTTTGCAAGCAACACACCATTGTGGGGCAGAGCTTCACTTTAACACGGAAAGAAAGTTGTGACAATCCGCTTATAACGCGGAATTTCTATTCCACGATAACGATATGTTGGTTGAACGCTATTTAGAACATACGCGTTGTGAACACACAATATGTTGGAATACTCGTAGCTTTACCATCTTCAGGATAATACTATGTATGTATGTATGTAAACATTCGCTTTTCCTGTTAAACTTGGGTTCATTGCAAGCGTTTACTTCGTGAATAGCAACGATTTTCATACCATATAAAGCTTGTAGTGCAAGTTTGTACGTTTGTGTGCAACACCCGATCACAGGTCGACTGCACCTTCTTCTCTTACTATACCGATCGTTTCAGAATCATTTTCTTTAACGGTGCAAGTCCATTTCTCTGCTTATCCGTCTATTCGTCTGTCCGTCTGAATGAAACTTTGTATAATATAATGAAATATTTTGGCTCAAAGACGAACGTTACTGAAAATTGTTCGGATGGCTACTTTCCACGTAGCGCTTTAATATAAAATGTCTTTATATGAATAACAGTAGGCTTAAAACTATATTATTTTTACTTGTTTCTTTTTTGAAGATTTGCTATATGTATATTGAGAAAAAATACATATAAAAAAATACTAACAGAAAAAATTCTGTTGAATATTGTGAAATTAAAAATTTTACGCTAAAAAAGTTATAGGAAGATTTCGGCTTAGCCAAGAAACTGGAGTTATTTTTGTTAAGTGCGGTCTCTTCTTTGTCTGACAGCAGGTTAAATTTCAAATAGGAGCTGCGAAGTCCGCTATAACTAGGTCACGCAATTTACAGCGACCTTGCAAGGGCAAGCAAACAAGGCTAACTTTCAGACTTTTTTAAAAGTACACACTGTACACAATATCTAGAAGAAATATCTGAATGTGGAGATAGTATTATTTTTTTATCATTAAAGAAATTTTGCAATGCAAGAAAAAGATGATAATCGCTTGGTGCCAAGTCCGGACTGTATGGCGGATGCATTAAAACTTCCCAACCAAGCTCCCGAAGTTTCTGGCGAGTCACTGTAAATGTGTGTGGCCTAGCGTTGTCCTGGTGGAACACGACACCTCTCCTGTTGGTCAATTCTGACCGTTTCTGGTCAATCGCTATCTTCAAACGGTCCAGTTGTTGACAGTAGAGATCAGAATTTAGCGTTTGGCCTTATGGAAGCAACTCATAATAAATAATTCCCTTCCAGTCCCATCAAATGCATAGCAAAACCTTCCTGGCCGTTTGAGGTGCTTCACCGCTCTTTGACCACGATCGTTTTCGCACAGGGTTATCGTATGTGATCCATTTTTCATCTCCAGTCACCATCCGTTTAAGAAATGGGTCTATCTCATTCCGTTTGGCCAAGGCTTCGCAGATGGAAATTCGATCCATCATGTTTTTTTCTGTTAATTGGTGGGGCACCCAAACATCGAGCTTCTTTTTGAAGCCAGCTTCGTGTAAATAGTTTAAAACTGTTTTATGGTCGATTTTTAGCTCCTGGGCGATGTTACGACTGCTAACATGCCGGTCAACTTCGATCATTTCTCCGATTTTATCGACATTTTCGACGACCGGCCTACCTGAGCGAGGTGCATCTTTAACATCAAAAATTCCTGAACGGAATCTACGAAACCAAAATTGCACATAATTGGCTGTTACAGTATCGGAACCATAAACACCATTCACAATTTTAGCCGCCTGGCTTGCATTTTCGCCTTTGTCAAAGAAAAACTGTAAAATGTACCGGATTTTCTCTTTGTTCACTTCCATTTTTAACATGCTGTAACTCACAACTGAATGCACCAAACAAGAAACAGCAAAAGAATTTTTTTTACTGCGAAATGTCACCTTTCCAACGAGCATAAATCTGAAATTGTTTGATCGATACTTTACGAGAAATCTATCAGTGCAGCCATCTACCGAAAAAATAATGGATTTCTTTTTCCCCAAACTTATATTAAAAGAGTGGGCGAGTGGGCAAAGGATCGCCACTAGCAACTTAACGATCATGGGTTCAAATCCCAAGCGTGGTGGAGTTTCAATAAAAGCCAATGCGTAAGTATTAGTGTTTTAAGACTTTAGTCTTAGAATTTATTTCTCTGATTAAATTAATTGTAATAACAATAATAATATAACAAGCGAGAAAGTTATATTCGGCGTGGACCGAATCTCGCATACCCACCACTATGCTTTTCGCATTCTACGCTCCAAGTTCTTTTATTTGATACCCATATCGTTAGTATTTATAGGAAAAAAGTGTTCGCGGTGTCTACCATATTCGTTTTCAAATGAACCCGTTTTTAGGCAAATAATAGGTCGTCATTTAAGGAATGTACAAAATAGTCTTAAACGTTCGGTCTTGTTTGCTTTATCATAAATAAGCATAAAACGTCAAAAAAGTGAAAAGAAATTAAATTTAGTTATGTGTAACTTTGGGTGGGCATGGTCGATTATATCCATTTTTGCACGTAAGGAGTAGACCGTTTCGTAAAGCAAATGTGGAAAATTTCAGCCGTCTATAATTTTTTATAATTTCCGAGGAACGAAGAAAAATCCAAAAATTTATGTTAAAAAAAACGAAGTTGCGTTCAGTTTTCGCTCCACTGCGCGCTTCCGCTCGAAGCGATTTGGCCCATTTTCAATACCAACCTATGTGCAGGAACTTCCAATGTTTATATCCAATTTGAAGTTGATATCTTAATTTTTGCGACCAGGGGAGTGCCTACAACATACACCACACAGACATACGGACGGACGGACATGAATAAATCAACTCAGAATTTCATCCTGACCGAGAATATATATACTTTATAGTATGTGTGTCTGAAGCTTCCTTCTGGGAGCATACCCCATGTTACAGTGGGGGGTATAATAAATAAACAAATAAACGAAATTATTTATGTATGTTTTTATTTTGTTTTTGTTATGGAATTTGAATTTAAAGTCTTTTATACGGAATTTTTAATAGCTTTTGGAATGTGCGTCTTCCCGTTTATACAGGGTTCTAGTCTCATATGTCTGTTTAGTCTCATACGCTTTCGCATCATAGCGGACTTTGTGGGATCGCATCTACCGTGTTATAGACGGGTTAACTGTACGTTGTCTCAAATCAATTTTTGCTCTCAATTGTACGACAGGACAAACAAAAGTAAATATATATAGAATCTAGATAAAATTTTATCCTGATAAAAACTATGCAAATTGGTAGTGGTCTGCCACGCTCAGATAAGATCTGTCATATAAATCTATTTTTTTCATATGAATCGTGGGTAAGAGAAGAAATACATCAATTTAATCGAAATTTCACACAGCAAATTTTCATATCAATCTCGACGTATGAGATATAGAAAATTAGATCCAAAATCTTTCAAATCCGCAAAAAAAATATATATATATTTATATATATCCTCTTTTCATCGAGTTTGCCGAGCAATATTAGAAAAAGAGAATTCTTTTATGTAACGTTTTCGAAAGCAGGCTACCTTTTCGGTGGCAGAGGGCACAAAAAAACGAAGCACTATGGATCACCCTCCTAAAAAGGAAACCTAAATATTTAGCAGGGAGTTTGTAAATCACTTTAGTAAAAAAGTGTAGAAAATAATCTAAAATTAACGCAAGATCGTAAGGGGAGGAGTGTGAAAATCAGCTCTTGTTCGGTAATAAGAGGAACTTGTTCTGGTGTGCCACAAAGGTCTTTTTTTAGGGCCGAGTTTCTTTAATATGTTTATAAACCATTTGGTCACTTGTTGTTTTGATTGCAATATTCATGCATGTCGATGACGCGCGTCTGATGATCTGCGTATCCCATACGCGTGAACAGGTAGACAGATCGAATAAATGGATGAATGCTTTGTTGTCCCTATCGTATGGACCTATCATATTGATATCCTATGGAGCTAATGTATGCAGAAGTTTTGACTACATCTTCGAAAATAAACTCCAAGAGGCGATAAATAAATGTGCGAGATATGTTTACGGTAGACGCAAGTATGATAAGATATCACTGTATTCCTTGAAAATTTCGAACAGCAATGTGCGACTTACTTAAATGTTTGGAACTCAATTTTTATGCACAAAATTATTCATACACCTATCCCGAGATACTTGTTACTTACTGCCAGACCACAGGTATTTTGTGTCTTCAAGGCTGCTTTTTATTAACATTTGTAAAAATGTGTAACTCTTTGCTCATGAGTATCAACTCAATTGTTAAGGGGCGCAGACGTTTTGTAATTCCTGTGCCAATGCGTGATTGTTATAATCTGATTGCATGGCCGTGATATTAAAAATGATGGTGTTTTTTTTTTTTTTTTTTGGATTATTACACTGCTGTACAGTGAAACATACGCTTTAGATTTTCTTCTAAGACCGGCGTTCATTGTCTTCTTTGGATTAATTATTGTTCCCTAACGATTTCATAGGTGTTTAGTTGTTGCATAATAGTTCATAATTATCTAATTCGGTACTCGGTAGTAGACATTGCAGCCTCGTTTGTACAGGAGTGTTACCGGAGATTTGCTATTATTAATAATAATATTACAATGTAATCTAATTTTAAGTAATAAATAAAT